AATGAATGAAAAGTTGAATAATAATTGCATCAGTAAATCAAATTCCAATTAGAATAACGAGCAGCACAGTTAATAATATCCTCAAATAATAATATCCTCAAATAGTTTTGTCGGTACTTCGGAAGTTTGAGATACAAACAAATGAATGTTTTAAAGTACCAAGAAGCGTTTTTTTTTTTTTTTCATAATACTTTTATTTCATCTCTAATTTGTAGAATTTTGTGCGGATGTTCATATAACAATCCTTGGTTGAAAAGGTTCCATAGTTTTTCCCTTCATAAGGATCACTTCTTTTCCCATAGTTTTCCCTACTTTCCGACTGCACATTCACCCAAAAAAAAATACTTTTCAAAGAATCAAAATCAAACAAGCGCTGTTTCTTGTGTTTCTATTATCTATTTATTGCATTTTTTTTTGTTTTGTTACTGTGTTTGAGATTTTTCTTTCTTTTCCTTAATGGGTTGGCATGAATAGAAGGATTCATGTCATAAGGTGTGTGACAAAATCTTAAGTTGGCTTCCAAGCTATACAAGGACTCTCCTTTATTTGGGCTTGGAACTAGTTGTCAAAACATAGGTGGTAGTAGTACTAGTAGGGAATTTCCTATAGTGGTTTCCGGTGGATGCAGTCATGGACCAAACGAAGTGGAGAAAAGGATTTAAATAGCTAACTCCAATTTTATAGGAATTAGGCTTCTTTTATATTTTTAAGATTGAGATGAATGAAATGATTGCTATGTTTTTACTATGCTTCATCTTTAATTTTTGTTGATTCTTTGCTCCCATGGAGACATTATTGTTTACTTGATCTCAAAGACATTAGTTTTTAGGATTTTGGATTAGCTGGAGACCGTTGGCTGTTAATCGCAAATGATTTATGAAGTACTTTCTGATTATTGGTTAGTTTTAGTCTTTTAGATATGCTGACAGGTGTAAGGGTCTTTCATTTTATCTTTTCTCTGTGCTACTAACTACTTTACATGCTTAGTGTAAGAATACTATACATATTCACAATCAAGCATTTTAGGATT